TCATAAACCGACAATCACAATTAATTTAACTACTCTAAACCAACATAAACCGTCCGCAGGTATGTTAAACCAACGTTTGATTTGAATGAACAAATTCTACTGAATTTAATTTCTGAAACTACTACTTAGTAAACCAAAACCCGAGACTAAACCGATAAATTGATCGTATAATCTCAACTGAATAACAATGGAATTTGATAGAACTAGCAACGACCAACTGAGCAGGTCACGAACCTGCTTAACATCCGATTGATAAATTGAGTTTTAGCGATGACCGACAAGTGAATTTATTTCACCCAACAATAAATTATTGTCTTGTGTAGTCATTTCGATTTGATGATTCCTAAAAAGATGGTATGTTTGACCTTGCTTGAAAACTGGTTCCTAGGAAGCATCTTCAGTAGTGCATCAGGACGCTCTAACTTTTGGGTATTTTTTAGTTTCAAATTTGTTTGCCTTCCAGTTTATGAAATATCGTGGAATCCTTGTTTCTTTTCTTTTGAACATGGTGTTTTTTTTCTTCCTATGACACCATTTTTTTTCCCTACTATTTATTGGAAATGATGCTCTGTTTTTGGTTTGATTTTGCTTAAATTTCTGATTTTACTATGAATATATTCCAGACGAAAAAATAACCAAATACAATTTATGAAAAGATACAACATAACTAAAACTCATCCCAAAAATGTNATTAATAAGATTTGCTTCACAAAGATCAACATAATAGGATATGTGGTGATATATAATTTTATTTGANAGTTTGTTACAATCATTATTCAGATCTAGATTAAAAAATCATATGAGATCACGACCAGCAACATTTAGCCATGATAAAAGAAAAGATTGAGCTCTATCCTGACGGGCGTCCCTTTATCCGAAACATATGTACATACACTGTTATTATAATAATTTCAATCGTCGTGGTGGAAGACCACTGAAGCCACAACCTTTANGTCCTAGATTACAATGTTGTTTAGAANAACCAATATCAATTGTATCCAATAACTTGAGACAATCACAAATGCCAAGCGTCATATTGCAATGCCCTTCTACGACGCAATAATAATTGCAGTCAGCGTCACTCTTACACCTATGCACGTACTTGAACGAAAGATTTTGTCCTTAAAGCCACAAACGTATCTAAAAAAAAAATCTTTAAACAGAAATTACTAAAGAAATAATAGTGAAATAAAAAATAAACGAACTTCAAATTGATTTTCCAACAACGAATAGTTTTATGTATTTGTCTATAAGCTCAATTCTTAAAAAAATAAATTTTATAAACAAATATTAGTTTTAATCATCGTTAAGGAAACATGTAAAATACTTATGGTTTGTTTGAAAATGATTATGTTGATAGGGAGTATATCCATTTTGCAGGTAGATGTTTTTGTTGTCTCAATGGTGAAACTAATTTACTCTTCATAGCTATATATATACACATATTGGTGACGTTTACTAAATTTATCACTTTTTTTGGCATATGAAATACATTTAATTAATAACCCGGTCACAATTTGGTTACTTATAACTAATCAGAAGAACAATCGGTGAAAAGGGAAAGTGAATAGAAATTTTCACTAAATCTTAATATTAAAATCATTGACTTAATTTAGTGAAAATTTATGTAGTGAAAGTTGACTAGACTGACATCTATGGAAGTCTAGTTTTGACTAAATATTCAATTTTTGTCACCACAAAAAAAAAATGGCATTTAAATTCTTAAGTTTGGCCATTTATATGTTGACCAAACCATTCTTGGTCCTCACGTTATTAAAGGCCTAAGACCACCTCCATTGGTATAACCCCTAATAGGGTTCTTAACAAATTTTTTAATATAAACTTTCTATCAATCTAAGTTAAGAGACTCATTAGGGGATTTCAATTTTTCTTTCCTCCATTGATAAATCCATTAGGGGTTCTTAAGAAAAAGAAATTAACACAAATCTTTTAGATGCAAAAGATTGATAGTATGTGTTTTATTGTTACTTGAGAAGAAGCAATCTCATAGATGCAGATCTTTTAGATGCAAAACCAAAGATTGAGCTTTTGAGATTCATATAAGAGTAATCAAAAGACAACAATTTTAACACAAAGAGTTACATACAAGTCATATAAACATTAAAACCAGCTTAGTCAAAATTGCAAAGTGATCCTTCTTTATCTCACTCATTCGCAGCTGCCTTCTCATGGTTCTCAAAGTTTTAGAGACAAATAATTTCACAACCAAAACCAGCTTAATCAGACAAACCTGCTCATGGAGAATTGGGATTTTTACCTTGGAGTTACTGAAAGCAGCATCAACATCATCAATGTTTATGTCTTCATCATCTTGCTCAAACGATGGTGGCTAGTAACCTTGCTTGAACCATTCATCTTATAGTAAGTCTGCAATACTTAATCTCTGCAATTCGAAAAACTCATTTTTGTTAATCTCTTGCACAAAGATGATCATCAGACAACAAAATCTCACCTGAGTTCTTTTCCAGCTCGATGTATCATAGTACACAAAACTCCATTAGCAGCATCTTTAGCAGCCGTTGTCAAGTCAATGTGTGAGTAACATAAACGATCCATGGCACATTTGTTAAACATGGTACTAGAAGCATCAGAGATTTCGTATCAAGCATCGAACACACACTACATGATACCATATCCTCACAGATAATCAAATTGGATTCAATAGGTTCCTCAATTGCTAACAAATTCCTAAATTCAATACGAAACCATTTCACTAGATTTCAGGAATTTCTGGATTCGTTGTTACCTTAATAGTGACTTCGGGAGGGAGGAAGAAGCTCGTTTCCTGAAACACCGTTTAGTGGAATCGCGAAGAAGCCAGACGAGTTCGAGAGTGCGATCAAGGAGACGATCCTGATCGGAGACATCACTGGAAGCAGAGGCGAGAGCTTTATCGAGCACTCGATCGAAGGAGGAGCCAATGGACTCCATTAACATTCCTCGAGCTTTTCACTTTCTCCTTCTTACCAACAAAATTAGAAGAACAAGAATCCATCGAATTCGAACCTAACCCGTAAACTGGTTTCTTAACCGGACCATCGTCTTCGTTCCACAAATCCTCTGCTCCAGCTTTCATAAACCGATCAGCCAAAGATTTTATATGTTCTTTCGAGCTAATCGGTCTCGATTTCGCCGGTAACGAGAGAAGCAACGATATAATCAAATCGGCGTGGCTATGGCCTAAGGTTGAAGGTGACGGAATTAGGGTTCTCGTTGTTGGAGATCGGAGAATTATCCATGGTTGAGAGACCCAGACAGAGAGAAACCAATATATGCAGAGCACGATTTATCGCTTCAGAGAGGAGAGAGTCGCGACGGGAAAGAAGAAAACTTTTTTTTTTAATACCTAAACTAATCACTGGTTGACACGTAAGAGTCCTTAAAGAGTTATGAAAGTACTGAAATAACGACTGGTTGTTAACTTAATAACACAATAATTTTCTTTTTTAATTTTTTTTAATGTTAAGAACCCCATATTTTTTTACAAACATCCTACGATGGAGGTGGTCTAAGGGTAATTCTCTTCTACCACCATTAATAATCGTTTAAAACTCTGTTTAACCTAAAAATGATAACCTTGTTGAAATTGATGGAGGTCTTTAAGAAAAATAACATAGGTTTCGAATTGTGACAGCGGATTGAACGGTGTGGGATAAGTAGATTAGAAGGTGCGGTGACGTTCAAGTGCGGTGCGTATTGGATAAACGCACCATGCGGGATACATGCGGTTAGTGCGGAATAGACGGTGCGGGTCAATATTTGAATGGTGACGATTATAAGTGCGGGATGGATATTATAATTATTGAATTTAATTAAAAAACTTTAACACTTTAAATTTTTAAAAAATAAATAATAAGTGTTTAAATTGACAAAATATAACAACATTAAAAAAAAAATTT